AAAAATGCAGCATCATTCAAAAATCCTCCTCAGGCTTTGAAAATAATTTCTAAGGCTAGGGTTGAGTTCGTCTCAACCCCCTGGATGCAACCATGTCCATCATGTAGCTCAATTTCACCTGAAACGAAAACTCCCAAAAACGTCCAAGAAACCCTAACTATGGTGGTTTGCAATACAAGTTAGATAAATGAAATTAAACGATGCCAAAAGTTTGCAAATGTTCTTGTGATCACAAATATGCCATTATTTTACTCAATGGATGCCAGAATAATGATTTACGATTTCAAGAAGGAAGCGGATCCGTGATGTACTTACAGTGCTTTAGGATGCTTGAAAACGCGTGGTTAAGATTGTATTAGCTTCTGGAGATGACCAGCAATCGATTGAGACAACTTTCAAGCCCTGCAAACGCCTCTATGATTGATTTTGATCTCAAGCTTCTTTGTGATTTTCTCAACTTTGGTTCTGCCTCTACCAATGCTCTCTAACCCTAATTTTCGTGCCTCTAGCTTCCTTATGTATTGCACATTGGATTAGGTTAACAAGCTTTGTTCAAATCTCTCCATATTGATGATTGCATATTTGCTTTGATCTCCCATGAAAACCTTTCCAAATTTGATCCAAATCATATATTCTTGTGCATAAAGACCTTGATACGAATTCAATTGCCATGATAGCTGTATTTGGAGCCTGAAATAGCCAAAAAATCATGTGTTATCAATGCTTTATATTTTATATGATTTTATTTGATTTAAAATGAATTAATTCAAATAAAAATCAAATTAAATAATAAAAATGTGATATGGACACATGGCTGGAGCTAGGGCACGTTGGGAATAATGCAAACTTAAAACAAGTGAAAAAGAATGGGCCCATTTGGCAAAATTTGATGTTTTGGGGATAGTTGACTTTTGGCAATTTTGCAAAAAAGTCCAACTTCAACAATGCATAACTTATTCAATTTTGAACTTTTGGAAGTGTTCTTAGACTTTTTAGAAAGCTTGAGATGTCCTCTAACCAACCCTTTTTGTCTCATATCATTTTGATATTACACGCTCAAGTTAGAAGCTTTGAAAAAAAAGGTGTTTTTGTTGACTTTTAAAAATAACCTATAATGTCAAAATTCATAACTTCTCGTGAGTGCATATTTTGATCTTGGGGTATGAAGATGGATTGTAGGGAATTACATACGCTTCAAAATGAGCTTTGGATGAGTCATTTCTCATAAAATATGAGAAAGTTATGCTTGGTCAAAGTTGAGTTGACTTTTCCTACAAAACCCTAATTTAGCAACCTTTGAATCTTGATGAATTTTGAGCAATCCTTGATAAATCATGATCAACCCTTGATCAAATGATGAAATATCCCTCAAAATAAGAATGTTGACAAAAAATCTTGAAGTTTGTAGGTCACAGTTGACTTTTGCCCTAACACAATCGACTTTTGGACCTTTGAGCAATTGACTGAGCAAACTTCCTCTGCAAGGCTTGAAACTTGACATGGATGATCTTGAGAACATATTAGGACATTGGTGAGAATTTGAGGTCATTTGGGCTCAAAGATCTTGATGCAACACAAAACCCTAATTTGGGGTAGACTGCCTTAGGAGATAGCTTGTCTAGTCAATCCTTGAGCAACCTTGAGCCACTTGGAGATTTTTCTTGCAATGTCTTGAGAAATATGGGAGGGCAAATTTTGGGGTACAACAACTGCCCCTGTTCAATCTTCTTAAACCTGAGGATGTAGATTGGCTTTCGTGCCTTTCGTGATCCGAAGGTGGAAGATGATTGAACACTAGAGTGCCTAGAAATTTGCACTCGCATGAAGTGGTATCAGCCTTGTGATGTTGGGAATGGGCTTACATATGCCATTTGGAGATTGATGATGGGAGGATGGGCTTAAAGATGCCATCCGAAGGAGTGTCGATCGCATAAGAGATTCCTTAGTGAGAGCTTGTATACCTGTTGTTGTAGAAGATTCCGCTGGGGAAGTCTGATCTTTGTTGAGATTTAGGAACTTGCCTGTACTTCAACTGAGAGAACATCTCTGCTGAGTTTTAAGAACTTGTCCATAATTCAACTGGGGGGGAAACATCTTTATCGAGATTTAAGAACTCGCCCGTAATTCAACTGAGAAAACTTCTCTGTTGAGATTTAGGAACTCATCTGTAATTCAACGGAGGACTTTGTCGAGATTTAGGACCTTGTCTGTAATTCAACTGAGAAAACACTGTTGAGATTTAACAACTTGTCAGTAATTCGACTTTGGGAAACATCTTCATCGAGATTTAAGAACTCGCCCGTAATTCAACTGAGAAAAACTCTACTGAGATTTAGGAACTCGTTTGTAATTCGACGGAGGAATTTGTCAAGATTTAGGACCTTGTCTATAATTCAACTGAGAAAACTCTGTTGAGATTTAAGAACTTGTCAGTAATTCGACTTTGGGAAACATCTTCATCGAGATTTAAGAACTCGCCCGTAATTCAATTGAGAAAAAATCTGCTGAGATTTAGGAACTCGTCTGTAATTCGACGGAGGAATTTGTCGAGATTTAGGACCTTGTCTGTAATTCAACTGAGAAAAAATCCGTTGAGATTTAAGAACTGTCAGTAATTCGACTGTAGGGAAAAATATTCATCGAGATTTAAGAACTTGCCCGTAATTCAACTGAGAAAACTCTGTTGAGATTTAGGAACTCGTCTATAATTCGACGGAGGAACTTTGTCGAGATTTAAGACCTTGTCTGTAATTCAACTAAGAAAAACTCCGTTGAGATTTAAGACTTTCAGTAATTCAACTGTAGGGAAACATCTTCATCGAGATTTAAGAACCTTCCCGTAATTCAACTGAGAAAACTCTGCTGAGATTTAGGAACTCGTCTGTAATTCGACGGAGGAAAAAGCTTCATAGCTTTGAATCTTGTGAGAATTTAATCACATCCTTCCTGAAAGGTAAAGGTTAATTGTATGTAATGCATGATATGTATCAAGCGATGATGTTCTCAAAATAAATGAGATTGTGTTGTATGATGCATATGTACATGTGTCATGATGTATGAAAGTGTAATGTTTTTAGCTGGGGAAAATAAATCTCGGATAGCTGCTGGAGAAAAAGAGTTGAATTCTTTGTTTTCGCTGGGGATAGCGAATGAAGATGACTGTGAGAATAAACATGCAGGAGAGGAAAACTCCGTTGGGGAATAAACTGCTGAGGATATTACTCTGTGGGGAAGAGATGTTCTGCTGAGGATTCCACCGATAAATTCCGTTGGGGCTGAATTACCGTTGCTGGTGATACTGAATCCTGTTGGGGATTGAATTCCTGTTTGTGGAAGACATGAACTCCGCTGGGGATGATCTTCAGTTGCGACCTCACTGGGGATAAGCTTTTATACTCTAATGGGGATAATCGTTTGAGCTCTGCTGGGGACAATCTTCCAAAGTCTACTGGGGATGATTCTCCCAACTCCACTGGGGAAGCTTTTTCAGATTGCGCTGGGAAAAATTTCAAACTCCACTGGGTATATTTTCTTTTCTTCCGAGGAATATTCTTATACTCCGCTGGCACTACGCCAAAAACGAGTTTTGGCACCGCTACATAGACAACGCTTATGCAAAAGCGCTGCTGTAGGTATCCAAAAAAAAAAACTTTAGACAACGCTTATTAAAAGCGCTGCTATAGGCCTTATCAAAGGCAGCGCTTTTTCTCCCTAAGCGCTGCTATAGGGTTTTAAAAAAAATAAAAATTAAAAAATTAATAAAAGCGCTGCTAAAGGGTATGCTTTAGACAGCGCTTTCAAAAAGCGCTGCTAAAGGTGTAAGTCTAAAAGCGCTGCTAAAGGGGGGGTAAACCTAAAGCACTGCTAAAGGGGAGTACCTTTAGCAGCGCTTCTTGAAAGCCCTGCCTTTGTGTAAATCTAAAAGCGCTGCTAAAGGGGGGGTAAGCCTAAAGCGCTGCTAAAGGGGGGGTACCTTTAGCAGCGCTTCTTGAAAGCGCTGCCTTTGGTTTGTTAATTTATTTCTAAACCCCTAACCCCTAAATCAGATTTCCAGAAACACAAAATTAAACCCATATCGCTGTTCATCTTCTTCTCCATTCGTCTCCTCCCAAACTCCCCCTGTCTCACTCCATTACTCCCTTTGTTCCGTCATCTCTCAAACCCACCTCTCAACCGCTTCATCTTCATCGTTACCAACCACCACCATCAGTTGTCAACCGTCTCCATCCTTCATCCCTTCGTCGTCCTCTAACCATTACCCTCCGCCTCGCATCAACGGCACAATCACCAACACCAGCAGCCTCCTCCGTTGCATCACCTTCGAATCTTCGGCCCACGGCTAATTCATTTTTTCAATCCAAGTAAGTGTTTCTATCATTAAAGCCTGTGCTTCTGGATTCATTTTTTGGTGTGCATCGTGACTAGAGTGTTTAGTTGAATGTAGGTGATTTATGTGTTGAGATTTTCTGGATTCTGTGAGCTTTGGGGTTTGATTTAGGAATTTAGGGTTCAATAGTTAAGTGAATAGTATTCTCTTCCTTCTTTCCATATTAAACCCAAAGAAATAAATGTCATGGTGATATAAGTGATTCTAAATCTTGTCAACTCGAGTTTCTATAGTACCTGAGTAACTAACCCAGCGTAAAGAGGCTTGGGAGTACACTTCGGGTAGCAGATCAATAACTTATAGCCAAAGTGATGCAGGTGACGGGCAGCCACAAGACCATCACCACCGTTGTTACCAGGACCACATACAATAAGAACGCGACTATACTCACCCGGTTTATAAACCTGTGAAAGAAATAAAGAAAAAAAAAACTTAAGAAACTTTCATGATTGAGTTATAGTAGAGAAGGCCTATTTAGAACAACTTAACTGAACTTATCTATTGACATAAGCACTTATGAGAAATCCAATAGTTAATATAGGTTACAAAATCCATTAGTTGCAAAATAAAGCCAACTACATAGATATAATATAGTTCGATTAGCAACTAAATATTAGATCCCATTTCTGTTTTTCCTATGTGAAACAATTGAAAGAAGCCTTGAAACACCTTGAGTCCACAATTCATATTCTCTTTGATTTATACATTCAAACTCAACTAAACCTCTTGATTCTGTCTTCAATCCAAAGTACCTTCTTTTCTCACCATCCTCTAATAGATGCCTTCCCGGCCATGCTGCTAAATTCATGCACACATCTAACACAACATCTGAAATATTTTAAGAAAAACATTGTATTTAACCAAATGAGTTATGATTGGTTTCTATGAAGTTGAAAGGAAAATTAACTTATAGTATTAGTATATTGCTATAGCTCACTCTTTTTCTTTTTTGTAATTGTTCCTGCAACATGTCTGTTTTTCATTTTCAACATCACCTGGCCGGTTCGATGTATATAAACAGAAACTATTTTCCAGTGAAGATCACCTACAGATATAACCAAATAAAGTTTAATCTTTTAGTAAATGAAAATGTATCGAAACTAGATTTGTTAAAACTACCTTTGCGGGTGCGTTTGAGTAATTCAGTTCCTCGAGCAAGGAGTTCTTGACTGCAAGCATTTAGAAAATTATCTGCATTGATAATCTCTCCACCACTATCACTAGTGCTAGAACTACTGTTAGTATTGGCTTTACCGCCGCATATTCCGATTCCTATGCTTTTTTCTAGTGGTGTCACAGCACTAATATTCCACATCTCTTTCAATTCTCTTGCCTTCAATGTTGCTGCGCCCCTTAGAGCTGCATATATCAAGAAAATACCACGTTGCGATATTTCAAGTAATGGTGCTGAATCTGAATGAATGAATGAACAAAACTATACCTGTGGCAGCTGCATATCATGAACAAATCTAAGCAGGGTGAGAGTTTAAGGCTCAAATATAAACGTTTATGTTATCGTCATTTCAAATATGTATGCATGTTTGTTGCAACTTCATTGTTTTTGAAATTCCACAGGCAGCCACTGATCAGACCAATGTCGATATCTTCATCTCTTTATTGTTTTGGTTTGAAAGATTGACAACCACCAGAACAGTTAAGAAATAAAATAATCGGTATGTATGTACGAGACAATATATGAGAGGTTATTTAAATTAAATTTATATATGCTTCTGTTATGATGACTTGGGCTTATTCTCAGCAGTTTAGAGATTCTGAGTTGTAGGGTCTTGGATTTTCTCTTATTTTGTATGCTTGGAAAAATTAGTAGTTGAATACATGAGTTGATTCTGAGTTGTAGAGTGATGAATTGGAGTGATGCTTTGATTGTTAACAATTATGTGATTAGATTATTATATAAATATTTTAATATACTTCACTTTTTTATATCTTATATTATTCTACCATTCAAATGTTTGTTTTCTATTTTTATTTTCAATAATCACTTCAAAATTAGTAGGATGATTTAAAAAATGCCTCATTTGTTAATCCTTTCAAATGCTTTAGGCCATTCCTTAAAAAATCTTTCCAACGAGGAAATTAATATGAAAAAGTGGTGGTTAAGGTGATATATATGAGTGCCAATTTGATCATCTGATTGTTGTACTGAGGTAGATACAAGCCTGATATGGGTACTCTTCATTTGTGGAAATGTTATTGTGTTCGTCTGCAATGCTTGGATCCGGAGTGTCGTATCAGTAGGCTTCACAGAGTTAGCTTGGTGATCGGTGGTCTGTTGTGGGATCTACACTGTAATCCAGTTCTTGAGCTTCGGCTGCTTGCAGTTCTGTTTCGGGGGTATCGATCGGGGTAAATTTAGCGTTGGGCATCTCTTCGGCAGCATTGTGAAAGTATTCAGAGTGCTGTTATGTGTTTTTGTTTTTGATGATATGCTTTTCTGTCTAGCTGCGGGTACGTGGTTAAGGTGACATTTGCAGTGTTTGGTTGCTAACTGCTGGTATAGGTGGTTTTTGTATCTGTATTAATTATTGTCATCAGTTTGAATAGACTATTGTTTCATTTTTTCCATTTTCTATCAGGTGGAACAATATTGTTCTGGTTTGTATTCTTTTTAAGCATTCATGATGCCTTAGTTAATTATAGATTCTTTTTTGCCCTTTCAAAAATAAAATATTAATTCTGAGCCTTGAAGTTGGCTTTCTATTTGGTCAAATTACTGGTGATATTGAAGCTGTAAAGAATTCTTTGCGGCAGCTCAGTAAACCAAAAGGAGAAGCCCCCCAATCCAGCACTAAAAGTGAGGTCAACACTCACAAAAATACTACTGCACAGAATTGTTTTGATAATACTTGGCCATTGTTGTAGATGTACTGCTCTTGATAATAAGCAATGTATTATTAGTTCTTTAAGGAATCTTCTAATTCCATGATGATTCAATGTATTATTTAATTTAAGATTTATTTGTCACTTCCTTTTGTTAATTTAATTTTGTATATTATTTTAATCACATACAAAAGCGCTGTCTAAAGGGGGGGGGGGGGGGGGGGGGTAATAGACAACACTTTTCATGAAAGCGCTATCTAAAGTGATTGGAAAAAAAATTTTAAAAAAAAATGAGGAAAAGCGCTGCTAAAGGGGGTAATAGACAACGCTTTTCATGAAAGCACTGTCTAAAGTGATTGAAAAAAAATTTAAAAAAAATGAGGAAAAGCGCTGCTAAAGGGGGGGTAATAGACAACACTTTTCATGAAAAGCGCTGTCTAAAGTGATTGAAAATAAAAATTAAAAAAAATGAGGAAAAGCGCTGCTAAAGGGGGGTAATAGACAGCGCTTTTACCAAGCGCTGTCTAAAGTGATTGAAAAAAAAGCGCTGTCTATACCTTTAGCAGCGGAGGTTTTAGCAGCGCTTTTAAGCGCTGTTAAAGGCCTAAAAAAGCGCTGTCTAATCCCTTGTTTGGCATAGTGTGGGGAATATTAAGATCTTTCAGTGCTGATGGTAGATAAACTCTGTTTGGGGAGAGTATTATCGATTCATTCACAGTTGCAAGCCTCAGCTGGGGAGAGCTATCATTACTGTCTTTTCTTACTCTGCGGAGAGTGAAAGTACCTTAGCCATATTCTTCAGCTAAATCTACCTTTGTACCTGGTGGACAGAGCAACCGTACAGTTTGGACATTTCTCGTTTGCCCCTGTTTCTGATATTACAAGTAATCGTCTTTTGTTTCGCATGTAAATATTCATGAGCAGCAATTAATGTCAAATGCATATATCAAAAATGAACATTGGACATTCTTTGCAAAACAAAACAGATAAAGGAAAAACAGTTTGAAATTTCTCTGAAAATGAGTTGTATTGATTTTGAAGTTTTGGCCTGTAAATAGGCGTTTTTGTACAAGAGGCTAACGTCCTAATAAGAGAACACCGCCGAACAATATAATTTACACAATTTGTGAAAAAGAAAAACAAAACAGCTATGTGAATAATCCCACTGGGTTCCAACTCTGCTATTGTCTTTATGTCCTCGAGCATCTCATCACTTTGCTACTGGTTGAAGGTAGATCAGATTGATTAGGGCCGTCTGAGCTTGATAGTCGATACCGAAGTCTGGTTGCAAGGTGATCCAATGAGACATAGTGTTACGCTTTAGTCCCTAATTTTTTCCTGGACCGCCCTTTCGGGTTTCCAGTCCACCGGGATACCCTTTTTGCCCAAGCCGCCTTTTCAGGTTTTCGACTTGCCGGGTGTACAAATTTTTTCATTTTCATCCCTTATTTTTGCCCGAACCCTTTTGGTTCGCCGGGAAGCCCTTATTTTTGCCTAGGCCAGTCAACCTAGCGGGTCTTTGATTATGCGTAGTATTTTTTCACTATGTCTGCATTGACGGGGTGAGGAAGGTCGTCACCGTCCATGGTGGTTAGAATCATAGCTCCTCCTGAGAAAATGTTCTTAACCACAAATGGCCCTTCGTAAGTAGGGGTCCATTTGCCCCTGGGATCACCTTGAGGTAAGATAATGCGCTTTATTACCAGGTGCCCAACTTGATACTCTTGTCTTCTGACTTTTTTGTTAAATGCCTTGATCATCCATTTTTTATACGTCTGACCATGTGTTTACCTTGGTTTTGGTAAACAACCGCTGATCCTCCAAATGGTTACTTATTTGGTTACTCGCAGGATCAATCAGATTGATCCTAGGACATAGGTTGATTTTGAGGTTTTGATTAAATTGGATAATGGTTAAATGGCAATAAAATAAAGAGGCTTTAAGTAAATTGCATGAAGAAGGACTTTGATAAAATAAATGAAGGCTTTAAATGAAGGGCTTCGACAGGAAAAGTAAAGAAGAAAGCAAGTAAATTTCTGGAAAAGTAAATGACTTTGATTAATAAAAGTGGTGTTTCACACATACATTCTCAACAATTCTTTCTCACACGCTGGGTACTCGAATCTATATGAGTGACTTTGTATATAATTGTGAACACACGCGAGAAACTGCGTGAACTACTACTATTTATACTAAAACATCCCAAGTAACCGTCGGGCAGTTACACTGCTTCGAGATGATCCCACTTGGCACGTTCTCAACGTTCGACGCTCCAGATCTTTGCACGTTGCACTTGGTAACCGCTGGAAACCCTTTTCCCTCCATACGCTTGAATTTCAAACCGTTCCACTCTGAACCATCGAACACCTTCGTCGAGAAGCATCTTCAACGAGAAACACCTTCGACGTCGAAGGCAACCGACTTCTCCTTTGGAAGAAATCTTCTAAGTACATTGCCATCTTTCGATGGGCATTTCGACGGACCTAGCTGGTCGAAAACATCCTTCAACTTTAATGGCTGACATTAATGAAACAAGGGTGTCGAATTTAGGAGCCAACAAATTGCCCCCCAAGAATGCCTTATTTCGACTCTGAAAGAAAAAGGCATTCTTTGAAATGCCATTCGACACCTGTCTTTTCATTCTTAGTCACAAATTAAATTGTGCACTTTTTGTTGTCTTCTACCAACCACTGACAATCCCAAGAAAAACCATCATTTATCCGTACCTAAGACGTCACCTCAGTACGGCGTGCAGTGTGTCAAACGTCATTTCACAAATTGTCATCATGACAATTCCCAAAAACGAGGGCGCACGCTGCACCCTTCCATTTCTGCAGAACGGCTAAAACAACAGGGAGACGCCACGTGTCCCACTACCTTCTGCAACATTAAATGGCATTTAATGTCCTCGAATTTGGGGATTTCCCCCACTACTATAAATAGCAGTAAGTACCCATTGTGGGACTTTTTACGCTACCTTGCTTTCAGAATTCCTCATTTGCATACAAACTCTTGTCAACTTTGCAAACCTCTTTTTCTTCACTTCGTCTTCAACCTCACTACCAACAATGGCATCTGGTTCTTCCAACGCTCCTAGCGCCAACGCACCATCTGGAAACGTTAAACCTAGGGTTTTCTCGACCGCTCCCGTAGTGACCCCCACGGGTCAACGAAGGGTCTCTGAGCCTTTGGACATTGCTGTACGTGATGCTTACTCACGCCACCTTATGATTCCAGTTGGATATTCCAACCAGATATTTGCTATGTCTGGCCCATTGTACCCAAGCATTGTTGAGGCCATGAAGATCAAAAGTTACTTTCCGGTACTTGAGAGACTCAAACCGATTGGATGCTCCAAGAAAGATGCAGAGGATAATGAAGATCCTGCTAAAGAGAAAATCGACCTCCGTTTCTTCAACAAAGGTGTTAGGGCTTTCAGGTCTGGCCCTAGCCTTACTCCTGATTATAGTGCTTGGCTGGAAAAAATGGAGAAACGCCAGGCTTCGATCTGGAAAGACATGGGGATATTCGACCTGGTTATGCTGTCGAAGACAGGTCTTAACTATTCCCCAGAGATGTTGATAGCTTCGTTACTCTTCTGGGACTACACCCATTTCACCTTCCATCTTCCCTGTGGAATGCTGACTCCCACACTCTTCGATGTTGCCGCCATCACTGGCCTTCGACCCACTGGGGACTACTTCGACCCGGAGGAAATGTCGGAGGATCAGATTGGATTCTCTGCCACAAAACCAACCTACACCACCTTCATCAATCACTACCACGATAGGTCGACAGATGCTGTGTCGGATGTCGAACATATTGCGTTTCTAGCCTTATGGCTGACACGCTTTGTGTTTTGCTCCAAGTCCTTACAGGTGACCAAGAAGATGGTCACTCTCGCCACTCAACTCCATCATGGCCAAAATATTTGTTTGGCAGAATTGATTTTGGCTAGCCTGTATGAGTCAATTAGCAACGGAGCGACTCTTCTGAAGATTATCGAGAACAAGGCCAGTCTGCTGCTTGCTGGACCTTTTTGGCTGCTTCAACTGTGGCTCAATGCCACTTTCGAGTCTTTCTTGCCTAAGAAGATTCAAATAAATGAGCAGGCTCCAGAAATAGCAAACAGACGCGTCGAAGGCACCAGATTGGCCTTGTTGACTCCAACGGAAGATGGGCTGGAGCTTCAGCAAACTTTCACAAACTTCGTTCTGATGTTTGCTAGAAGGAAAGAGTTTGCTTCGACTATGGCTCCGTTTGCTCGACGGAAGGTTGGCCCAGAGTGGTTCACAAGGCCACATCCTAGGACGTCGAGTGGTCCTCAGGTTGACGAACATACAACAATGTGGGAGGCATTCCTCACACCAAGAATAATGCCCCTTCAATTCAGGATCTCTAAGACTCACTTGAGTCTGATTGCATATCAACCAAACCTGGTGTCTCGCCAGTTTGGTATTATTCAAACACTACCTTCTCCAATTTTTCCAAGGGAGAAGTCTATGTTATACTTCTGCAACGACTACACTGAAGAAGCTGCCACTAA